TATGTTATGTTAAATAAATAAATAAAAAAAAATAAAAAAATTTACCAAAGGAATTAAAAGATCTTCCGGCTAGAGTTTTTAAAATCGACTTGGTATATTACTTTTGGAAAAAATTTATTATTAATAAATGATTATATGCGTGAGACACTGTAGTTGATATAAATTTAATAACGTATGATATGTGCGATACAAATCTTTATATATATAATTCTTCTGTGAGTGTGTATGTCACTGAACTTCTCTCAAACGACTGGACCGATTTTGATGAAATTTTTTGTGTGTGTTCAAGGGGATCTGGGAATGGTTTAGATTCACAAATCAGCCCGGCAGATGGCACTGCAGTCGGTACTTTCATACTTTGCTTAATATCCTAATCGCTTTAAATATCATGCAGGACAACGTCTGTGGGGTCCACTAGTAATATAATAATTTACCAATTTGACTAATAATGACAAAAGACAAGTTTGCGCGCCATTTTGTGTGGCAGAATATAGTACGGGAGGTAGCAACGTTTTCGAGAAAGAATTTCAGGTCAGCCGATTTTGTGATACGTCTTCCTTCTTCACATTCGGTTAGAGTCTGGGCTATCTGGCCGAAGGTAGCGATTGCGTTCATTAGTGCGCATCCTACCTGTCCAGGTAATAATCCTGGATTTTAAAAGCATTTTAAGAAGCGTAATTTTTAATTTTTCGTTTTTAAATAAGTCTACCTGACATTCTTTTTTTTATTGCCAGACATTTTTGACAATGCTAACTATGTGCCAGACGCGATTTTAATTTTTTTTTTATAATAATTTCAAAGTACCTACTTTCTACTACTACGTCTGTAATTTTAATATTATGTTATTTAAATATAAGAAAAACTAAAGTCATGAAAAGTATCATTATTTTTTATATTTGCCAAATCGATTTTGACGCAGAAGTTGTTATACGCTGTTCTGATTCTGATATTTTAATAATACTTCTGGGAAATATGGATCACCTGAAAACATCTTTGAAAATTTGGATAAATATGGGTGTTGGAAATCATCATCGTTACATAAACATAAATGAATTGTACCGGATTCTTGGTGACTCTTTATGCAAAGATTTACCATGCTTCCACGCAATCACTGGATGTGATTACACGCCAGTTTTTTTTTAGAAAAGGCAAAGTTAAGCCTTTTAAAATATTAGAATTCTGAAGAATACCAGTTAGCTTTTGATAATATAATTTCGGATGACGAAGAAGTACTTGAAACTACATTTGTAACCCTGGATAAATTTATTTGTCAAATGTATGGAGTTAAAAATTGTTCGAATGTTAATGATGATTTCATTTATTTTCAAGTACGTTTAAGTCTAAAAATCAGATGAGAACTTTGACAAATAACTTCGAAACTTTGACTCATCCAGCTTGCCACCCTGTAAAGCGGAAGGGAAGTATCTAAATCTATTTCTTTTGTGTTAATAAAATTTACAATTTCGCTACAAAAAATACATTAACAAACAATCGAAGTAGTTTTTTGTTCTTTATCTCCACCGTTCGTGGACCGATCTAAATTATCAAGGTTTCAAATGATTCGGATTTTCAATATTATATTTAATTCTCTTAGTAATACCAGTCAATAGAAATAAGAAATATAAATACTTTGTAGTGAAGGAGTTTGTAGTGTTTACATCAGAAAAACACCGCTATTTGATTTATTTCACCTTGAGTAAAGCCTTCGATGTCTCAACCAAATACAGATTTGTGATACAATATTTGTACACGATTGTACTAATATTTCCTATTTGTTTAACTGATGGTAGTACGCACAACGGACCAACCTCGAGTCTAATTGCGGAGAAAGGAGTCCTTCAACCCTAACTGATGGTAGTTTGGTAGTTAGCCAATGAATACAACGATTTTTCACAAGTGTAGACAACCCCTATTGCTTTTTTTACTTGGGTCGCAAGGATCGTGATATCTTAGACTTTTTAAGCAAATTCATAGATACAAGAAAAGCGTGTTTTTTATTGCAACAAAAATAAAATATAGTAAGACGTTTTGATACACCTATACTTTATAGCACGCGAAATAAATCTAAAAATAAATAAATAATTCAGTGACGCTACAACCTCTTTAGGACTTGGCCTCAGATTTCTGAATCTGTTTTATGATCATTTTTCAATCTTAAAGGCAAGTACCTGACACACGCCGTCGACTTTTTGGGTCTAAGACATGTCGGTTTCCTCACGATGTTCTCCTTCACCGTTCGAGCGAATGTTAAATGCGCACATAGGAAGTAAGTCCATCCAGGGATCGACCTTACGAACTCAAGAATGAGAGTCAGACGCTAAAGCCACTTCTCAAATAAATCTACATTACAATAAGGAGCAGTTTTGGCCTAGTGGCTTCAGCCTGCGACTCTCATGTCTTTGGTCGCCCCGAACCGGCTGTTCACCAATGGGCTTTTTGTCAATGTGCGCATTCAACATTCGCTCATCATCAAAACATCGTGAGGAAACCGGCATGGCTCAAATCCAAAAATCTACTACAAGACAGAAGGCTGATCACCTACTTGTCAATCAAATAAAAAATGATCAAACAAGCGGATGCAATCTGAGGCCAGCACCCATATGTGTATTGAGACAAAAAATTTAATATTTACGCTTCTATCTCGCTTCTACTGAGGTACAGTACCTCTACTTTTCGTGGAAGTGAGAGAAGAGAAAATAATAAAAAGGATTTAAACAATCACAAAAGTAACGTAGAAATAGTTAATGTTGATAAGGTATCAAAGCTACAAAAGAGTGCCCAACCTCTGTTTCAATAGCGACAGCGAAACTGATCCCAAATACATTTTGTATGCGATACCAAGATTGGTACATCGTCTATACAAAAACGGTTATTATAAAGTTATAAAGAAAATTACTAATTATAAACAGTGTATAGTTTTGGACCCAAGTTTGAACCTTAAAAACTACCGGACCGATTACATACCGATTACCTTTTACATGAGTAAAGTCTATTTAAACAGTAAAAATCGCGTTTATATCCGTTTTAATACTTAAGTAATTGAATCACTAACATAAAATACTCTTTTTCGGTGTATTGCGTAAACTAAGTTGCATTTGAGGCAAAAAATCTACGAAACCACACCCATTAATTGAACATAATTAGTTCAATTAAATAACAAATTGGAAGATTTGAACCCTACTTAGAGAATAGTACGAAAAATAATATAATAAACGCATAGGTATAGTACTTCGTGGTATCAAAAAAATATTTCAAATCCCAGATGCCTTCATGTATTACCGAGTCGAATGCTTTTTAATAATCAATATACGAACAATACAGTTAAATGCCCTTCACCAGTCCATACAAATGGATTGAATCTCGAAAATTTATTTTTACATTCTTCTCTAGTATATACTTTGCGTAGATGAATAAGTCTTAACTTGCATATAAGGCTTTGTTTATACAACTATCTCTATTTGTATAGCCTGATTTGTCTTAGATTATTTGAGCGTTCAAGTGATTCTCCAACCTCAACGCATAATAGTTGTTAGAAATTCTTAATACAAAGTTATTGACTACATTTGTGTAAGAATGGTGTAAAGGACTAACGGACTGTGGCAAGGCTCTGTCGCGGATAGGTCATGTCAGCAGTCATGACTGCTTCACGACTGATTTGAGCGCGACCGCCACTGCGAAAACCGCTGTGAGAGTTCGAAAAGTGAGTTACAGAATCGCAAGGCAGATGAATGAAGATATTGCACAAGTGTGTGCGCAGAGATAAGCAGTCCTTCGAGGCAATACTATATATATAGTTCCTTATCTTTCAGAGCCAGTTGGGGCGAATATCCGACCATATCACCATAGTTGGAGACAGTTTAACATTTATCCAAGACACATTGTCCAATCATCGCTTATCATTGACATACTGACATCTACTAACGAACCGAACCTCCACACGGCCAACCGTGAGTTTAACTTAACCTAAACTTTGATATATGCTATCGCTATTATTTAGGCATTATCAAGCTGTATAAATTTTCTCTTACTCAATCATATATCTCTCATCGTTCGGTAGCGTTCGAAAGACTACTTTCGACAAATCCAAATAACACGAATTTTTTTTTCCGTTAATATCAGACACAAAAAACTTGGCTTTCTATTAGTGAAAACATTTTCAAAATCGCTTCAGTATCTTCAGAGACTCCTTAAACCTCACAAAGTTTTCCTTTTCCAGATATTACAATTACAGTTAATTATTTGACATTTGCATAATGATTGTTAAATTCGTGTTCCACTTTGTAAGGCAAATAAAGAATTTGTAGTTATTTAAGAAAATTTTATTTATTCGTTTTCAGTAATTTAGCCAAAGAAGAAGATTCTCATTTGGGAGTCCATGACACTTTTTGGGTCTCAGAGCCAGCGGAGTGAATGTGAAATCTAGGAGGGACCTAGGATTCGTACCTCATAATTTACCAAAAAACCAATTAAATGAACATACATTTACCAAGACTGAAGGAATTGGAAGCGTTCACGTACTACTAACTTGACTCAAAGGATTGGAAAATGGTGGCAAGAGACAAGTGGAAGAAGTTGGAAGACGCCTTTAGGTTAAACATAGTTTTTTTTATAGATAATAGGGGGGCAAACGAGCTTGTGGGACGTCCAAAAAGGGCAGTCATCGCAGCCCATAGTGACACCCATTTTTAGTAGGTGCATTGCCGGTCTTTGAGGGAGGAGTACACTCGATTTTTAAACATTTGGAGGTCGTATCTCTGAGGGAAGACCTCCACCGGGAGTCGATTCCACAGTTCGCTAGTTCGCAAAAGAAAATGCCTTGTGAAACGGACTGTGGAAGACCTCCAACCATCAAAATGATGTTGGTGAAATTTAGAGCTCGTACGGCGCGTACGGTGTTGATAAGAGACAAGAGGGTTCAACCCAAACAAGAACGTCACAGTGACAAGGAAATAATCTATCCTAATTATGTTGAACTCAATTACAGGCTATATTTTACTAACCTGCCCTCGTATGGTGAGCTTCTTACAATCCTTGGCCAGCAGATCTCTTACATCTTCCAGATACAACTCGACATATGAACACGACACTAGATGGGTCACGTCTGGACTGGCAGTGTTCTCTATATGAGCCCACATATGTCTAAACGTTCGTGGTATTATGCCTTCATCGTCACCAGTTCCTTCCATCGTGTGGGTCTTGCCGGTACCAGTTTGACCATAGGCGAAGACGCAACCGTTGAAACCATCCAGAACTGACGCGACGAGAGGTCTGACCTGCAAATAACATCAATTTATTCAAGAATACTTTGTGATCAAACATGTAATGGACACTGAAAGTTACCAAGGGTTCTTAAGGGTATCGGGTAAGCTGAGGAAACTCATTTCCTCTGCTTGATGATACCCTTAAGAACCCTTGGTAACTTTACCCTTTACCCTTAAGGACCAGTGCTACCACGGAGAGGGACCGTTCAAGTATTACGTAACGCCATTTTTGGAGATTATTGACCCCCCGCCATGAACTTGCCGTAACGTTTATCAGTACCCAAGTACAGTACTGTGTCTGTATTCAAGTCTAGTAAAACGTTTCGTGACCACCTAGTGACTCTTTAGTTGCTATTATGTGGTGTAAGTAGAAAATAATATTAACAATAACGCGTAATTCAATCCCCGCCCCGCATCGTAACGTTTTACAAAAGGACCCCCCCATCCAAAATTCGTTACGTGACATTCTCCGTGGTAACGATGGTCAAAATTACTGGCACACGCAAGCCTGGCTCAAAATGGATACATAATGACCAAGAGTGGACGGGGATCTGTTTAGATCACCAAACAAGAGATTTTGGATTGACTGTCGACCTTCAGTAATTGGAGAGGCGCCGCAAGAAAAGACCTATCTTGTCTATAATAGTTATTTAAAATGGATTTTAAATAACTATTATAGTTTATATATAAATAGGCAAGATTATAATTTATTAATAATAATGTGTTTATTAATTATAATAATGCAATACGTGTAGAGTTGGGAACCCTTTTAATTAAACAAGTCAGGGTTCACAGATTCTTTCATAATAAAGTCAATATATATGTTAAACCAAAATACAATAGAAATTGTCACTTTTTATCTAATATATAAAATTCTCGTGTCACGGTGTTTGTAATGAAACTCCTCCGAAATGGCTCGACCGACTTTCGTGAAATTTTTGTGCACATCGGTTAGATCTGCGAATCGGACAACGTATATTTTTCATTCTCCTAAATGTTAAGGGCGGTGGTCCACCCCTAAATTTTAATTTTTAGACATTTTTTTTGTTACCCTTAATTTTCACCCTTCTACGATAAACACTATTTTTTATTTGATAATTAAAAACTTATGACTTGAACTCGAAGGTTTATATAGAGAAAAACCAAAAAAGTTTTCATTCCAGAAAACCGAATAGTCTCTGGGGTAGCATAGCAAAATGTTCCATGTTGGTATGTCCTAAAAAGGTAGGCTAAGTAAAATCATATTAAGCAGACTCGAAGTTCGCGGGGGCTATTGTATGTTATATAACTGTTTATATATTTCAGTTTTCTTTTTTTATAAGTGTTTTTATAATATGTATATGTGTAGCTGTAAGATTACTTATAAACAAATATTTTTTACATAAAATACAGGTAACGCCCGTCCAAAAAAAAAAAAATATAACGGCAGGTATCAAACTTTAAAGACCCAAAAAATACAAAAAGATCTATACATCATCAATCACGTAATTCATCCAAAATTAAACTATTTGTGATCTATTGTAGGTAAAAATCAGTAAATATTCAATCCATTGGGTCTAACGATTTCTTATGTAATATACCATACGTCAACATCCCAACATTAAAAATAAATAAATCAGTGACGCTACAACCTTTTTAGGTCTGGGCCTCAGATTTCTGTATCTGTTTTATGATTCAATCTAAGAGGCAAGTAATTGCCTCCTGAACCTGACACACTCTGACGACATTTTTGGGTCTAAGGCAAGCCGGTTTCCTCACGAAGTTTTCCTTAGCCGTTCGAGCGAGTGTGTAATCGAATCTACGACCTCAGGGATAAGAGTCACACGCATTACCCTAATACAATTTTTATATAAATAAATGGAAAGATATATTATTATTTAATACTTTTTAGTACATTTACGAGTTTGATAATTTTTATTCATTTGTTTAAGTGAAACTAGGCAGATGTTTTATATATGTTATATTATTATAGTACGGCAAACGAGCTGGAGATTTACCTGGCGGTATCACTGCCACCACCCATGGAAACATTATCAGAGGGCTTGCGAGTGCGACAGCCTTATAAGAATCGGTACGCTCTTTTCTTGAAGAACTCTAAGTCAGGTTCCACATTAGTGGTGCTTATAATAATAATATTCATAATAATAATAATGATTTATTTTCTCCGATATAACATTTACAACAAACAATAAGATTACAATTACGAAGGTATTGGGAAACTGGTTTCCAAACTAGGTAAGAACCTGTGATATGGATAACCAGGCTTCCATTCCACAACAAAGTAATACTGAGTGGTAACAAGAAGTACATACATAATTGGGTAGGCAAACAAATTTAACGTTTTACATAAGGAAATAAAAACAAAACAAAACAGTCAACTAATTAGAAATTAGTAGAAATAAAGTTGTATGTGTGTAATCGAATGTGTGTGTATATATATATATATATGTGTGTGTGTGTGTGTGTGTGTGTGTATCAAAGTGTCATAAACCCTCAGTTGTTGACGGACGTCAAGATACAGGTGGAATTTCGTATTCCTGGACGTCTGATGATACTCATTTGGTATTAATCCGAACTCTGAATACTCCTCTTAAATGCGGTAGAAGAGAGACACCACTACACAACATGGAGTGTACGAGCTAAGGCTGTACATTTTGCTGACTCAGGCTTTCTTAGTTTTATAAGCGTGACGATTTCCTAAATCGTCGGAGTCACGCCCCGAGAGACGTAGGCACTCTCTTCAACTGTTACATTGCATTCATTCGTTACATCGTAATTAACATTACATTATTTCGCTTATGTACGCGAGTTAATAGAGTAAAACTAAAATCCTTTATTATTTAATGCACCCCGATGACCCAAGAACCGTACATTTTCATACCATCAAGCGCTTGGTAAAATTTTATGCATACATTACATGAACCACTTGAATTGAATCAAGTACATCGCTTAAATGATTCAAAAGGCTATTTATATTGAACACTGAATAAAACATAAATATACTTTAAGTAAGACATAACATTTATTACTAACATAAACAGACAAAATAACAATAATCAAAGTAAAACAAATAAATAAAGAATATAATGAAAGATAGTATTGTCTTTTATTGACATGACTTTTACACATTTAAAGAAAACAGTTTTTTACCGGATTGAAGTTATGTATTATTATAAATTTATAATTATTTTACAAATTTTTAAATTTTCAGACGTTTCGCGTGCTTTACAGCGTGGTCACGGTGACTGAAGACAAAAGGTGTTGAATGTCAAAAAGTTTCACAGCTGTAGAAAAAGTTGTATTATCTGTAATTATTTCCCCGGAGTTGGTATCGACTAAAAGATGGAGGGTTTTGGCAGAAATAGCTCACGTATAAAAAATAAAAAAATATCCTATTAGGTTCGTTTCAAATGTGTAATGCGTGTGTGCTGTGGCTGATATTGGCCCTGGCTCAGCATTATGTTGAGGAGCAGAATGTTCCATAGCGCTGGTCATTCTGCCAGAGAACACGGCAGCTAGTTTGAAAACAAAAATAAAGGAAAGGAATGAAATAATATTAAGAAAAGTTAGCAGTGCAAGTCTTGTGTAAAGGTGTATAGTAAATGAAAAAAAATAAGTTAAAAATAAGAATAATTGATAAGAAGTAGATAAATATTTTTTTTTGGGCGGATTTCGTGGGATTTGTGTTGAGTAAGTAGATGTATCTTATAGCTGCGACTAAAATTTGACTTTAATTGAATACTTTTGTACTTTTCGTGGGCAGACGGGATGCTTTATACAATGTAACATTAAGTATAACACTATATAATAGAGGGCAAACGGGCAGGAGGCTCCCATGATGTTAAGTCGTGTCATGGGCATTCACATTGCCAGAAGGCTCTTAAATGCACGTACGCTCATGGTACGCTCTTGCAAGACCCTAAGTCGATATGCTTTGGAAATAATTTAGTGGCAGGTTCCACATTGGCGCGCGGCAAAAACTGCCCTAAAAAACGCTCAGTTGTGTAATGACGGACGTCGAGGTGATACAGGTGGAATTTCGTATTCATTTCGACAAATCCTCTGAATTGATAAACAAGAATTGTATTACGATATTTATTATAATATACAAAAATCATATTAAAAGGTTTAAATATAAATAAATACTAGCAGACTCGGCCAAGCGTTGCTGTGGCTAAGGTTTTTGTTATATTGCATAGTAAGTAGTAAACTATTCAAGGGAAACGGTAGGAGAACACCAGTTATGAGGACCACCATGGTTTTTTGGTGGTTATGCCATTAAATTGTAGCTTATGTGAAACGTTGGTACTTTCAACACAGCGCCATCTGTTAGAATTGGGACTGTCAAATAATAAACAAATAATTTGCAATTAAATTATATTACGGGTATAAATTGAGATGTAAGCTATCCTATCATTTAAGTTGGATCAAACTACACACGGTGTGCAAATTTGATAGATATCGGTTCGGTAGTTTAGGAGTCCATAGCGGACATACAACGTGACACGTAATTTATATATATTAAGATTACTCATATTAATAAATTTAAAAAAAATAAACATTTTAATGTAGTTGCACAATCGTTAACAATAATGGCGCATCTGAAAATCACCGATTGTGTAAACTGACGTAATTGCAAGCTTTGTGCGCACGCGCAACCTTGAGTGCCAACTGCTTTTGATTTTATGACCATCTGTTTTTTACTAGCGTTTCCTTTTTTATCGAACAATTCTTTTTTACAACATACAATTATAATAACCAATCAACACACTATAATCATAGACTATAGACTTTCTACGTGCGTATTTAACATGGTGAAGGAAAACATCGTGAGGAAATCAGGCTTAGACCCAAAAAGACGGTGTATATATACAAGCACACTGATTACCTACTTCCCTATTAGTAATAATGACGAAACAGATATTTGCTCCTATTTCACCATTCCTCCTGCTGATAGAGGACAAATCTTTGTTTTTAATTTATTATTACTTATGGTAGGGGAGCCCAAGAGG